ATTAACCTTCGTTGACTGAAGTTTCACTAAACTGAACGTAGATAAATTAATTACTTTGCATTATTATATTTACAAAATGTTGATTAAATTGTTTAGTGCTTGACGTTTTATTTATTCTTCCAGAGCGATGTCTGCTAGTGCAGAAGATATTTTACAGCAGTGCCAATCGTTCTCCAGGTACCAGTGGTTCCAAATTATGGTCGTTTTGTGGTGCCAACTTTGCACAGCTTGCAACACTGTATTTATGGTGTTTGCTGGTTCCAAGAGCCTATCTTCAACTAATGCTACCACCATCACTCCTGGCTGTGATCCGAGCGTCTCATCGAACTGCAGTGGGAGTGACCGCCACTTCCACTCGTTTTACTCTGAATGGTCAGACGGTGATTTGTCTGATTACACAATTGCCTCAATGATGTCTCTTCAGCTGATCGGCTCGCTTCTCGGAGCGTTGGTCTCCGGTCAGCTCTCTGACTGGTACGGTCGCAAGATCACCTCCTGGACGTTCTTCTCCATCACGGTCGCGATTGTGACTGCATCGGCGTTGTGCGAGTCGGTCTACGCCATGATCGCTTGCAGGTTCCTGATCGGCTTCTCGACCGGAGCTTATGACAGTGCGGTCGTCGTGCTGATGATGGAATGGACCCGAGCCGAAAACAGGCTTCTGGTGCAGAACAGTTTGGACTGCATGAACTCGATCGGCTTCATCTGGTTGTCGTTCCTTGCCATGCAGACAGCCAGTTGGCGAATACTGAGCCTTGTCTGCGGATTACAGGGTATATTTTGTGTGCTGCTGTTTCGCTGGATGATCGAGTCTCCCGTGTGGCTGACCAAGATGAACCGGTTGACCGAGACCGGACTGACCTTCCGCCTGATCGCCAGCTGGAACCGCTTCGACTTCTTCACTCCAGCACTCAGAAACACTGGTGTCGACGAAGACGTGTCCGTCAAGCAGGACCGTGTCAAGAAATGCTCTTACCTCGACCTGTTTCGCACCCGTAAAATGTGTTCGCGTACCATAGCCTTAATGTACAGCTTCTTTTTTACTGGTGTGGTTGGTTTTACCCTGATTATTAACATGGATAATTTGTCTGGTGATATGTATGTCAATTTTGCGTTGTTGGGCGTCGTCAATATCTGCTCAGCCATCATCTCGTTTGCCATCGAACGCCTCCTGAAACCTGGTAGAAAGATTTTTCATTTTGCCGCTCTGACAGGCGTGAGCTCAAGTGTCGCCGCTCTCTGTATCCTCTATATTATCGGTGTACAAGAAGACTTACGCATCCTGTTTGTAGTATTTTCTCTTTGTGGTTCCATTTTTTCCTACCCCTTGTGGGTCATATGCAATCTTTATTCAGGCGAGCTTTATCCCACGTCAATCCGTGCGATGGGTAGCGGCATCGGATCGGTGTCTGCTCGATTTGGAGGCATAATTGCTCCTCAGTTGCTCTACCTCATTCACGTTTCGAAACCTCTTCCTTTCTTGCTCACTGTGATCTTTGGTCTCGTGAATATTTTTGTTGCCGGTTGCATGTTTCCAGAAACCAGGTCAAAATCGCTTGCTGATTAAACTTGACTGTGATTTTAATTTTCATGTTTTTATTACATTGTGTTTTATTTTCTGTTGTGCAGAATTTTTTGCGTACATTTGCGGTACGATCAGTTTATATTGCAAATTATTGATAACTTTTTGGTCATCATCATTTGAGGAAAAACAAGTTAAAATTCATACCATGTAAAGTAGAGTCGGCGACGTCGCATCAAGTCACTTGCTTAATCTTCCGTTTTGCACCATAACGGCGAATTAAGACGTGTTCCTATGCAAAGGCGAAACCCATTTTCCAGTCATAGGCGTTTCAATGTCAGAGAGAAAAATTTGTCGCCTCGAAGTCTTGCTGAGGAACTCAGTCTGCTTACCTTCATCCGTGGTACTCAGGAGGGAGACATGGTCTTGAGTCAGGGTTTGCTAACGAAAGAAATGCGTATAAACTTTGAGTGGTGTCAGTCTCATATATTTCTATGGTTAGATCCTGTTTATGGCCCCTCTGATGAAGCCGATGTTTGTTTTCTGGCCATCTGTAGCTTGGTAATCTTAACAGTTTCATTTCTCCAAGATTATTAATGCAAGGCGAGACTTCTCGCTTTAAACATTAATTGTCTGGACAGAAGGTGAAGGCATGTTTCATGTCGTGCAGAACTTCTGGCAGTTTTGCCAGCTTTTACACCAACTTCACCTACTTCCACCGTGGTCAGGTTCGACAGAACTTAAGCTAAAGTTCTTCGTATTTTTTTGAGCCAATTCATTCAATCGCGAAGTAGGCATTACCGTAACTCCAGAGTACTTCGTTAGTTTGGCCGTTTTGATTATGTTACTGTTCTTTAGTCGATAATACCATTGGACTTTGAGGGTGCCACTTGGGTGTCATTTCTGGAAGCGATTCAGTTCTTATTCATGGTGCCTTGGGACGGCGGCTGTTTCGATGCCGTATAAGAGAACGGCGAAGAACACCACTTTCAAGATGTGGCTTTCATTGTCATTGACCCGGACCCGGTTCAACAGTTTATTTTCGTTGCTACGGTTCGTTGGCGATGATTAAAACCATCACTCTGTTTGAACACAGCGGCGTCGATCAATGATCCTACTGTCATTACCTCCATTGCCTTGCTGCACATACGACAGTGAAGACTCAGTATCCCTGTCAGCGTCTTCGCTAGCCATAGTGGTGGCATCCGCGTACCCCATGTCAGATAAGTAAACTCGAAAAAACGGGAAGTAACGATGTATGTATAATTGAATAAATATTGAGGATCAAAGCTAGGATTAAACTTTTTAAAGACTAGGGAAGAAAACAGGTTTTGTTGAAAACTGAGATTAGAAGACTACTGATTAACTGCTCCTCTTAAAGCCAGATTTTACAATATTCCTTACAAATCCGCACAAGAAATAAATGCACGGGATACAGTCAACTATTCAAAGACATTTGTTGTGAGAGCAGTCGAAAAACGAAGCATATCAGAGTTAGTAAGCGAACTGCGAGGAAACGCGAGGTGTCGAACAGTCTGAAAATTGTGAGGATCAACAGTCACAACATCACGACAAGATATTTGATTGATTTCGCTGGAAAAAATCTGTCCACGAGTTACACATGGAGGGGGAGGGGTCGAATGGTGCTTTAGTAATTCATGCTCCAGCAGAATCACAACCAGGGACTGTGGGAACTCTCGACGATCTGGATAAGTTTAATGAAATGTTCTGAGTTTAAACCACAACGATCAAAGTGTTACCTCACGGAACAGAATGGGTATTCATCATTTCGATGACTGACAATTTCTGAACCAGAATGACGAGTTTCAGAAATCGTTTACATTTATTAGTCTAACTGTTGCTGCTAAATAATTTTGCCAGATGTAATCGAAACCTAGTTTCCGGTAACATAGGCATTATATTTTTCTGACAAGTAAAAGTGATGGAATCAGAGAAAGTTATCAATGAATGACTATCATGTAGCATGATGGCAAGAGCAGTTACATATTGCGAAATCACGAAGAAGAATTCGTTTACCTCTTCTGAAAATTCATTCAGATATCAGTGTGCCCATTTTCTATACAGTCCTTTATTTAGTTCATGCACATTATTTGATCTACTTCATAATTACTGTTGTTCAGAGGATAGATACTATTACGTAAAGACTTTATCATGCAGATTTAGGGATTAATTATTTAGGAGTCATAATCAATGCATTAAATCTTATCAGGAACGTGAAACTGACGTTTTCAACCAACCTTGATCCGTCTGAAAATTTATGATAATATGTGCATAGAGTGAACCTGACCTACATGAAAACGACTCTGTGTAAACTCTGTGCTCACGGTTTATGACAGTCCTAGAAAATGTTTGCAAGACACGCTGAGGATAAAGAGTATTGCTTAATCTGAGGTTTACCAGTGGTCTTTTCGGCCTCCAGGTTTCCAGAGAATTGTCTAAGAGCCGAACGACTGCAAAATCGAAGTTCGGTTGAAAATAGACCTACAGAAAACTCAGGTCATATGCAACAAATACCAGCGATCGTCTGAAATGAATGGACTTTGATTTGAAAAGCATAAAAAATAGGCATATCTGCGAGAGCTGATTTCTGCGATTTAAAACCAACCTGATGAATGATGAAACCGTAGAAGAGTAAAAATTGCATGGAACACTTTGGAAGAATGAAACTGTTCTTATCCGGTAAACTGTATCTTGTGCTTTAAGTGGAAGGTTCGCAAATATGGCGTGACTCTATTAACGTCTGGATAGAAATATGGGCCCTACGTATGAAAGATGTGTCTTGGGAAAAACAAAAAAACAGAGGAAGATTTCACTTCCCAAGTGAACAAGTTAAAGTACCAATGTACTGTAGAAGTACCAATGTTGGAAGAAGAAGCGATCGCAGACGTTGCAGTAGAGAAACTTTGGACTGGGTTTAAAGAACTAGTATATGGTCAATAGGGAGATCTCCGGATCGATGGGAGGAGATGCTGTTGAAGTTCGCGAAGTCTTGGAGAGGTCTACACTCAGCAGTGGACCGCGGTAGTCTAATGATGACGAACGACGATGAAATGGTTTCGAGATTTTTCCTGACTATGTCAACCAGTGATAATGAATTAATAAACCGTATATAAAAGTGTGGACAAAACTGCTGTAGCCAAATCATTGCTAACGGTCCTGGCATACAAAAATAAATTTTCTTTGGCATTCAAATCCCTACGAGTGCTCTGGCGTCATCAGGTTGAAAACGATGGCTGAACGGCCGCATTAGTCATCCAAACTGTGGGTTTAGAGGATGACTGGAACAGCGACGGGGGTGTTGCTCACTTCACAGAAAGAAACTGAAGTTTGCGACATTACTTGAGACCTACTTCTCCATTTCTGGATTTAATGACAATACATAACATAAAATAAAGTAGAAGATCATCATAAAGGCGCTTTTGATGCATGCATGCGAATGTCCGGCAGAAAGCAACACGGGAGTCTGCGATGAAGCCCAAGACTGAATGACTTCTAAATCCTACAATTTGAACTGTAGTACGTACTAACAGTTCCTTGATCCTTGTTTACACACAAGAAGAAAAATGATCGAGAAGATTTGAAAACGTATCGACCTATTTTTTCTAGACCATACGCATTAGCTGTTCACGAATGTTCTCTTAAATCATGTGATGACAAGCAACAGCCCGTAGGTTCGATCCCCATGTTGAGAAACTTTTCTTTGACTTCGTAACACGTCAATAGAGCTACCTCGCAGTTTCCCATTTTCCTTTGCACTTTCGAACAATGTCGACTAATGTATAAATTTGTATATCGAACAGCTTACGATAACTTGTATATCAAGCTGCATGAAGTCATCGTTTAATCAGTTTACTTCATAC